AAAATTAATGGACAAACTAACCGCCGATCACACAGTGTGAAAGGGACCGAGCTGTTAGAGGAAGATCTTATATATCTTGAAAAGCACCACATATAATCCGGAAAGCTCGTCCCACTAAGCCCCTGTAAGAAAATAAAAATCAAAAATAAAACTAGAGACCTGTTTTGGGCCCACAACGTATGATCCTCGAAATCAAAGGGTCCCAAACGAAGAAAAAGGGACGCCCCGCTTTATGAAAAGGGGCCCCACTACTCACCAAATGCACAAACGACAAAAAATATGGCGGAGGATTCATTCCCATTTTGCACATTTGGTGAGCAGTGAATCTGGATGGGTTTCATGCAGATATACAGAAAAGCACACCGATCGCAATTTTCTGCACCCCTCCAGAAACACGTCCACATTCACGTGTTAAATGCAAAAAATCCTCTTTGCTAGTGGGACCTCGCCCCTGTTAAATTTAAGGTGGCTTTTTCAGCCCTCTAACCAATCTTCTGTCTAATCTGACAGGGGAGGCTTGTCTTCCATCAGGGGAACCCCTACCGTCTTCATGCCAATACAACGCCAGGTCGTTATCGCTGCATCTGGTCCGGAAGTTGCTCCAAATCCCACCATAATGACCGGGCGTTCTATTCGGCTGAAGAAGGTCGCAGCCATATCACCTGCGAACACCTGAGGCTTCATCAAGCCAAGCAAATGAAAATCACGTAACCAAAATACTTCGATTTCATTTCATTTATACATAAACAAATTTAAGCTTTGAGGGCTCGTTAGACACTCCTCGGGCGCCTCAAGTCCCCCAGGAATTGTTCGTTGAGGCGCCCGAGGAATTGTTCGTTCAACCTATCCTCGGGGATGCATGCAGTCGGAAAAAAAGAAGTGAAAACAGTCCGAAGGAAATTCCTTGGGCTCCCAGGATTCTCCACCTGAGCCATTTCTTCCTTTTGCCCAAGGGACCTTACGAGGTCCCTTGGCCAATAGGAATCTGCGTTTCACGGAGAGGAGGGGGCACGTGGGTATAGAGACCTTACAACCGAGAATCTGGAGAATCTGGATCGTGGCGGCACCCTATTGGCTGAAGGCCTCAAGCACATTTGATTTTTTTTCCCTTTTCTTTTTCCTTTTCTGACATCGCTCGAAGGAAATGTCCTCAGGCGACGTCACCGTTGACAGGTGGAAGGAAGGGCCCAAATTTCGTTTTGAACCAACAGGAAGCCCTTGATCTTGTTCAGCGGCACTACAGACAAACCATCGCATGGCACACACACACACACACACACACACACACACACACACACACACACACACACACACACACACACCTGTCTCTTATACACATTTTACAGTAAAGCCTCCTGAGGTAGTATAGTTACTACCTTCTGCAGGTGGTATATATTGTTGTCTGATGGGAGCGTTAACTAAACATTCGATCGGGACAAACGGCCGCTGTTAAGTAGTTGCAGACAGAAATACATTAAACGGCGGCCGTTCAGCCACATTGACTCTAACCCACTTTTGTAAGTAAGAGAAATTGTCACACCCACGTGCACACACCCACGTGCACACACACACACACACACACACACACACACACACACACACACACACACACACACACACACACACACACACGTGTACACACACACACAC